GTGTTGACAGAGCATGGCAAACAAGGAAAACAAATTTAAATCCAGATAAGTATCTATCCTATAGTAACAAATTGCTATTCCCCTATGATAAATGAGATTCACTCTAACTTGCTTCTAGGTTGTTGGTTGGTCCACTTGTTGCTGTCCAATTGTGTATCCATGAGTGGTGATAGTCAGGCCAGCTCACTGACGGGGAGACCAGGTTGTCAAGAATCTGCTTGGTCTCCATCTTTATCACCATGGCCACTTGGTTTATAAAACTATTTACCAAGCGCTGGTTTGGTTGGGAAATGAGATTAACTGCCATCCATAAGAGAACCATCTTGCTACTCTTCATTTGTGCCTGTTTGGTAGATATTCATAGAGGATATAGTTATTCTTCTCCCAAGCCCACTCCAGCGGGTCTATTCACATGCCTCTTCCTCAATCCTTTCATTTTTATCTTTTCAAGACTCTGATCATCAAGCCAAGCAACAGACTTGTCCACGAATCAGACCCATGTCACAAGATCTTTCTTACTCTAGGCCAAGTCTTATGTTCCACACAGATGAATGTCTTTGCATAGTCAATAAAACACAAGTGAACATCTTTCTAGTATTCTCTGCTTTCAGCCAAATCCATCTGGCATCAGCAATGATATCACTCATTCCACGTCCTCTTCTGAATCCAGCTTGGATTTCTGGAAGTTCCCTGTTGATGTGCAGCTGTATCTGGAGAAATATGAAGCAGTTTGCTTCTGTTAAGATTTACAACTTTGGAAATCCTATGGGGTGGCCCTACTCTGTTCTATAAGGTTGCTATGAGTCAGAGTCAATTTGATGAAGTGGGTTTATTTTTGGTTTTAGCAAAATTTTAGTTGCATCTGATATTAATGATATGGTTTAATGATTTCTGCATTCTTTTGGATCCTCTTTGGAATGGCCAGTTGCTTAGCCAGTTAGTTGTCTTCCAAATTTCTTGGCATGGATGAGTGAGTGCTTCCAGTGTTGCATCCATTTGTTGAAACATCTCAAT